ATTGGGGATAACAAGTGTAAGTAAATTAATACAGCAGAAATTTTCAAAGTTTTCTCCTGTTCACACTGTCACATATTTTCTCTCATTCAAGTAAGCTGGTCCGTTCACAATATGTGAATTTTTAATAGTTTTTCTTAATTTAATCAATACATGATAGCAATCTCTGGAATTTGAATTCATGTAGTTCAGTACTTCAGTTTCGAAATTCAATGTACCCTTGTTTAATAATGCCTAATGGCTTGAATCATGGCAACATTCAAAGTTGGCAGTACGTTATCTTATTTGTATTCAAATTTTATCTGATTAATTTACATCTGATAATATTAGAAATGAGCTACTTCTATCTCTTCGTCGTATTATAAATAAAAAAGTCTAAAAACGAGAGATTAATTACTTACGCAAGTTACAGACATTGGAGCATAGGGTGACGACCAGCATTCTGCAGCCTTCTCTAGCCTGCACTTTTTTTCAGTTCTTGGCGACTGCTGTTCATTTTATTCACGGAAACTTGGATTTGAGCACGTACGTATTGTTAAATAATTTCACAGAAATACCGAAGTGGTTCTTGTTAGCCCAACGTTTACTTCAGTGAAATTAACAATTCCCGTAGCCCTGAGATGACAAATCATAAAATGTGCTTGATAGTAACTAGACTCCTGCATGAAATCTCTGTGTTTTAGTGCGGAGTGGTGACCAGTGTAGTTCGACGCTGATGAATGCATAATCAATCACATACCGAAAACGATTGGTAAGGTTATGCATTACCTTCAATTACATTAACACTGCTCACTTGTCTGCAGGTTGAGTTTTTGCGCTCGAGATCGAGAGATCTCGGTTCAATTTCCTTTCGTGAAGGTTGGCGATGCTCTCTTCTGATGAGTCCTGTGATTGGGTGAAACGACATTCCAGTGTCTGTGTGTTTCTTACTTTGGTCTGACAATGATCAGTTCACTGTTAGATTGAAAATTACCAACTATAGAAATATTTATCATTCTCACAGTGAGCTCTGAATTCAAAAGGCGTAGATTCACAAGCATCTCGCCCAGTCTAAGTTCAAAAATGACAAATCTCGGAAAGAACAATTCTATTTTTAATCAAAAAAAAAAGAAAATACAGACAATTACCAAAACAATATTACACCTTCGAGTTTCTAATCACAACAATAATTTCGGATACTGGAAAAATAAAGGCTTCCACTTAGTTGCTAGAGTATCAAATCCGAAAACGGCTGTAGCCATATTAAGTATCAATTTTAAACAACACATATATAGTTCAGAGGGAGACATAAAACCTTCAATGTAAGTACAAGATATAGAAGTAATAAAAAAAGAAACAAATGATAAAATCCCAAAATGGGATCAAATAAACTACCAAAATATCGAACCGAAAAAGTCAGTCCATTCATCATACAAGTAAAAGTGATAATAATAATAATAAATTTACTCTCAACTACGTTACAGTAGTCACGCCAGTTTACAGGCTAGGTCAAATTATCACAAATGCTTTCACATATACTGTAAAAGTTAAAGCAGTTAAATTAAGTTTAAGAGTCAGTTCCTGATAGCATATTTAAACAATGTCACTGACAAAAACAGTATAATACAGCCACAGTTTCCATAGTAGAGTACAAATAAGGAAGGTGCACAATAGGTTCTTTTGGCGATTCGCCGAGATCAATAGTGAATTTGTTGGGAAAGGTCATATGGAACGCCCTTGATACGAGCACTGATCCAGACAGTCATGCAAATAGGGTGCATGTTCCCTAGAGTCGCCAAAGATTTCCCACCGTGAATGCAGTTCTGAAAAGGAGAAAAGAGCGAGAGGAAAAGGAATCAGTGTGGCAAGTGTATATATATAACTAAAGCACTACTTAACCTGTCATGTTGAAGTATTCAATACAGTGGTGAGTCAAGATAAAATTCATGCTGACCAATACTGGAATATAACAATATAACCTACAGATAAAGGAGTACAGCAAAAAAGAAGGAAGAGTTTTTCAGTGCCTGGTGGATAGAAGAGAAGTCGAAGTAAGAAGCTGGATTTATGTACGTTGAAATCGAAATTTCAGTTAAAAGAGTAGATTTTGTAAAACGAAAACATAGATGATTAAACGTTCTCACAGTCTAACTTTTTATCATTATTATACTTATTATTAATATTATTATTATTGAATGGCAACCTGTAAGCGCCTGAGTAAGAATTTTACGGGTGTCGCGACAGAATAGCGACCTCAATATAGTTTTGAAAACATGAACCTCCGAAGAAGCAAGCGAATAAGAGCGACCTCAGTGTTACTGATTAGTCGTCACATCAATCTAAAGAGCCGAAAGCACACTAAATGTTCAGCCCCACGAACATGGGTGGTTTGAAGTCATTGCCTACACCATCAGTGTTTGCTAGTCAGTAACTACACCGTCCCTCCTTTTGTGTCATTAGGCTCATGTTAAATGTTTAAAAGAAACTATTTTGTGTTCTACTTGGTGCTCTGTGTCTTAAATCCTGTTGAGAAACACTATTTCTGCAAGTTCCTTCCACAAACGTGTCTGGCTGTTACAACTTTTGAACTACTGGTCAGGCATCAATGCAATACAATTAACAGTTATGAAGAAACAGTACGAATTTTCAAATAAGATAAAAGCTTCTAGGTTGTGGTGTGGTAAATGTACTTAACTAGCTAAGCAGGAGAATTAAAGAGTATCACGGTCAAAAGTGGAGCAATAGATAACAGTAAGGGATCAAGGTAATTCAATAGCGTGTAAGTGAGTACAGTATGACTGATAATAGGCGATTTGAAACTCACACAGTTGTAATTGTTGATAAGGTTGCGCCTATGAAAGTAGAGTGCGTTCTAATTAACCAGTGTCGATCGGTTAACAGCCCTCTCCTCCACATAGAATATGTATCTTTCACAATGAAGATATCACGAATTTTACTTGTGCACCCGTTTGTATGCTAACTACTTCATGTAGTTGGCGACCCCATCCCATCAAAAACTAACTTGCCATAAAAACCCTAACCAGAAGAAATAAGTCAAACAATTTTAACTCTGCTTTGGGACTCGGAAGTAGAATAATGACGTCGCGTGACGAAAGCCGAGTTCTTTCGGAAGTCACGGGGTCGATGTCTCTTCTGACAACCAGAAAAACCACTCATTTAGGTACATAGAACGTTCGTACATTGTGGGAGACTGGAAGAATATTTCAAGTTGCTGCGGAAGTGAAAAAGTACAACCTCGAGGTGATCGGCATTATTGACACGTATTGGACAAAAATAGGACAACTGAGACTAGATAACGGGGCAGACAACATCACACAAGTATAATACAGCCTTTTTTCGGGATATTGTAAAACTCAACGAATTCATGATAACACTCACCAATGGGTTCCAGGCCTTGCATGATATACTCTGTGGAGAGGAAGCCACATTGGAAAACAATTGAAAAGGGATCAAGGAGGCAATCACTTCAACATGTCCCGATGTTCTGGGTCGCAGAAAGTTCCATCGCAAGGATTGGATGTCTGTTGGTACTCTTGCAAAAATTCTAGAAAGGGGGAACAAGTAGTCAGCAATCAAAGTCAGCCGAACAAGAGCAGAGAAACCTAAGGCACAAGATGAATACACAGAAGCAAACAAGGAAGCAAAGAAGAGTGTCTGAGCTGACAAACGAAAATATGTGGAAGATCTAGCAGTGACGGCGTAAAGGGCAGCAAGGGACGGAAACTTGAGACAGTTGTACGTAACAATAAAGAAGCTGGCCGGAAACTATCGTAAACAAGAACGACCAGTGAAAAGCAAGGAACGGAATGTAATCAGCAACACCGAAGGACAGCGAAATAGGTGGGTACATCACTTTCAAGAACTACTGAATCGACCAGCTCCACTGAACACACCCAAAATCGAAGCAGCTTCCACTGACCTCCCATTTAATATTGGCGCACCTTCAATAGAGGAGATCAGTATGGCCATCAGAACCAGACAAAACTCCAGCAGAGGCAATGAAAGCAAATGTGGAAGTGACTGCAAAAATAACTAACATCCTCTTTTAGAAGATTAAGAATGGGGAACAAGTATCAGTGGACTCGAAAGAATGGCATCCCATCAAGGAAACAAACAAGGGTGATCTCAGCAAGTGTGAGAACTACAAAAGCATCACTCTTCTTTCAATACCAGGCAAAATCTTCTACAGTGTGTTGTTAAACAGAATCAAGGACTTTGCAGGCGCCAAACCGGCTGGATTTCGCAAAGATCGGTCATATACTGACCAGATTGCAACATTACGGATCATTGTGGAACAAT